CCCCTCCTCTGCCGCCCCCGGGGGATGAAAAAGAACAAGGACCCTGGAGGGCGGCGCGCCGCGGCGGGGGCGGGGCGCGGTGGTGGGGGCCTTGCACTTGACGAGTTTGTTCACGTCCCCTGCTTTGGGAAGCTAAGCCTTTGAAAACACGTGTACTTCCCCCTCACTTTTTTTCACAGTTTGTCGCCATTGCGACAGCGAGAGCGCGTGGGAGAGAAGAGGGAGGGTGGGAGGGGGGGATGTCCAAGCGTTGTGGTTTGGCCTGAGGTTGGGGAAGGGTCGAGGGGCTGAGGTCGAAAGAGGGGGGAGGAGGAGGAAACTTTTCAAAACCTCCAAGTATGATGCATGGGGGGTGGTGGGGGCGGGGAGAGAAGGGAATGGGCGGCACGCGGCAACTTTTTCCTCGGACGCGGCGGTCCTTTTCAGATTTCTTCATTCTTTTCTGCGCGGCGCCAGCAGTTAGTTTGTCGTTAAGTCTCTCTCTCGCGCGCGCGTCAACGAGGACTGGGGCTCGCGGATTAGCAAGAAGTAGTAGCGACGGTCGATTGAGTTTGCTGGCAGGTGATGTGTAATTAAGAGCCGTTCGACACGGGGGAAGGGTCGCGTGCGCTTTTCTTTGATTTTTTTTTTTTCGCGACACAGCAACAAAAATGACGATACCGGAAGGAGATGTTCACTGTGCGCAGCTTTTGCGGGCGGTCAGTGCGTCACGTCCAGTGCGGGAGGGAGGCTCTCTCTAGCGGCACTCTCTCTGTTGTTTTTTTCCCGCGCTGCCACAACTTTGATTTATTTTTGAGTCACCAGTAATGAAATAAATCACGGTATTCTTGTGTTAGGCTCTGTGTGCGTGGCTGCGGGGGTATGGAAGGTACGGGGGTGTGGAGAGAGAGAGGAGGGGGGTTAGAGGGAGGGAGAGATTCGGCTGCGAGAACAAGGCCGGCGCTCACAGTATTTCAAATTCCGTCATGCGAGGAAGAGTGGACAGGCGAGGTGCTGGCTAGCGCCGCCGTTCCCCCCTCCTCCGCACACACGTTCGTTGCCCCTCCGCCCCCTCACTCTGCTCCACCCCGCCTCTGACCCTATGATAACACGCGGACGTCTGCTGTCACTTTACCTACACCGTCAATTAACATTCTTGTTGTTTTCTCCACTCTTGGTTCCCCCGTTCAGACACACGCGCTGGGTCCGGAGGAGATGCCTGCCCATAAGCCCCCCCCCCCCT